GTTTCAGAGAGTTGGACAGTGACTGAGGATGACAGAAGAACAATCAATGTCTTTGAGTTGTGGTGCTGGAAAAGAGTCTTGAACATAACCTTGAACTGCCAAAAAAAGCAAATAAGTCTGTCTTAAAGAGGGTAAAGCCAAGTTTCTCCTTGGAGGCTAGGATTTTGAAGCTCCATCTCACATACTTTTGGACATGTGGTCAGGAGAGAGTGGTCCTTGGAGAAGGACATTGTACTTAGAAGGGTTGGAGGGACAGCGCAGGAGACCCCGGATGAGATGGATTGATCGAGTGACTGAGGCAGTGGAGGTTGGTGTGTCCAAATTGGTGAGACTGGCTTAGGACAGGGCAGGATTCAAAGCTGCTGTCCATAGGGTTGCTGTGAGTCAACAGGAGACTCGATGGCACATAACAATGGCAACAACATGTAGATGACACAGCCTAGCTTGCTGAAAGTAAGAAAGGCTTGATGCACTTGCTGCAGATGTTCAAATAATACAGCCTGCAATATGGATTGCATCTTAATGTCACTAAAACAAGAATTCTCACCAGTGAACTGATATACAGCAGGATAGATAAAGATTAAAACTGCCAATGAGTCCTTTTTACTTCATCTGCACTTTTGGTACCAGCAGTCAGGATATCAGAAGACATACTATACTGGGAAAGTCTGCAATTACTGACTTCTCCAAAATATTGATGAGCAATGATGTCAGCTTGAGGACTAAGGTGTACCTGATCCAAGTGCTTGATTTGTGCTCTTTTCAGTCACTTGCAGTGTACCTGAGAACTTAACTCTGAATAAGGATGAAGGAAAATTGGTGCATTTAGTGCTGTGGTGTTAGTGAAGAGTTCTGAGCATCCCAAGGACTGCCAAAAGAACAAACATTTCTTGCAGAAGGTGCAGCCAGAGTGCTCTGGAAGGCAAAAATGATAAAGATTTGTCTCACGTATTTTGAGCATGTTGTTAGGAGAGGTTATTCCTTGGAGAAGGGCATCACACTTGAAAAGAGGGAGGTTCAATGAAAGAGAGGAAGACCTCCAAGTAGGTGGATTAAGACAGTGACTGCAGCAGTGGGCTCAAATAGGTCAGAGATTGTGAGGATGGCACAGGGTAAGACAGGGTTCTGATCCATTGTTCATGGGTCATAGTCGACTCGTGGCACCTAACAACAAAAAATAATAAGCATCCATTGCTGAATTTGACTGAAAAAAAAAAAGCATCGATCAATGGTAATTAATTATTCCAAAATAGAATATATATGAGTGATTGTCTGAAACACAAGATGCATGAATGAAATGCAACCTGAATAATTGTATAAAAGCAAAGTAACTGTATGAAACATGATGTAGATTGATTAATTGATTGATTATATACAATTTTAAAAAATACTCTGTGATTCAGAAAATCATGTTCAAGCGATCTACACTTAGAAATTATATGATGCTTTATGTACATGTTAAAGGAGCCCTCATTGTGCAATGGTTGAAGCATTCACCTGCTTACTAAAAGGTTAGTGGTTCAAACCTACCCGCCACTCCACAGGAAAAAGATTTGGCCATTCACTTCTGTAAATATTACAGCGTTGTAACACCGTGAGGCAGTTCTGCTCTGTCCTGAGGGTTAGTATGATTTGGAATCAACTCAGTGGCCATAGGCTTATATTTATAATAAGAATGCAAGAGGGACATCAGACCTATAGAAGCAGAGAGGTTACCCCAGGTATGAAGTAGACATACCTGAAGCTGTGCTTCTGAGTACATTCAGTGGTGTGGAAATAGGTAGGATAGAATTGGAGCGCTCTGGTGGTCCAGGGGGGAGCCTGATGGCAGAGCTCCTGTTGTTCTGTGAGCGGAAAGGTCATCAGTTCTAATCTGCCAGCTGCTCTACAGGAGAAGAATGAGCAGTCTCCTCCCATAAGGACTTAGAGCCTCAGAAGCCTGACGGAGGGTCACTGTGAGTCGGAAATGACTCTGTGGTGTGGGATTTGCAGGGTTTTGTTTGGTAGTACAGTCATGCTGGTCTGCTAATGGAATGGTTGATAGTTCAAGCCCACCCAGGTGAATCCAAGGGAAAAAGACCGGATGATTTGTTCCATTTAAAATAACAGCTAAGAAAATGCTGCAGAGCAATTGCAAACTGTCACAAGGGCTTGCTTTGAATTGGAATGGACTTCCTAATGCCCAGTGACAATAACAACACTCTGTCGTCCATCGTTGTAGTCTTAATTGGAGTGTGTATTACACACACATACACAACAGAAGCAAGGAAAGGACCCATTGCTCATGTGTGCTCTGTGTTACGGAATTATCAGTCATTTCTCTTCATATAAAATAACCAAACCCAAACCACTTCACTGCCGTTGAGTCAGAGCTGACTTTTGGCTGACCCTCAAGTGGGTTTTCAAGAGATTTTAAATTGTACAGGAAGGAGATTGCCCATATTTCTCCTGGAGAGCAACTGGTGGATTCAAACCACCTGCCCTTGGGTTGGTAGGGCAACTCGTTTTCTCTGTAAGCCGGTTATTACTTTCATAACCAGAGCAAGAATAAGTATTGCTCAAGAAATATGAACTAGCTCTGAGGAGGGGAAGTGTCTCTCCCTTCAGGCCCGTCTGCTGTAGGGATCTGTTTTCTCTGTAATAAGTCATTCTCCCTCTGGTGACTCTCTTCGGAATCACATTTCTGTAATATATTCTTTCTTGCTACCTTATCCATCTGGCAGGCAAGCAGCAAGTAAACTAGCAGCAAGATAAATAGATCTTGAATCTATAAAAATAGCTCCCACATACCCATGAGCTTTGGTATGGACGTAGAGTTTTAGAACACTTGACAGTTTTAAGTCTCTCACATACATCAGCTGTGAAAGCTATAGTGTCAGCTCTCTGAGGGACTCTGTGAGTGGCACAGCCTGTAAGCTCGCAGATACTAACAGGAAGGTCAGTTTGCTTGAGCCTTGACAGGAAGGACCGCCCGTATGCCTCTAGTAACCTACCATTGAAAGCCCTAAGCAGCACAGTCCACTCGGACACCCAGGGGCCACCATGAATTAGAATTCATTCTAGGCAACTCTTTCTTTGTTGATGCTTTGTGATTGTTGTTGTTGTTAAGGACAGAATGTTGTCTCCTCTGTTATTCTACTCCATCACCTGCACCTTTCTGATATTTGCTAAAAGATTTGTGGTTTTTGAACAGTAGAGCTAAAATGAGGGTGTTGTGGTGGCCTCGTGTGTAGGGACCTGTGCTGCCGTCTGGAACGCAGTGCCTCTCTGGTTCCAGTCCACCAGCAGCTCTGTGGGAAAAAGCTGGGCCATCTCCTCCAGTCTCGTTTACGGTCTTGGAAACTTGCTGCAGGGTCACTCTGAGTTGGTGCTGCCGCAGGAGCAGCGAAAAGATGATGATGATGATGATGATGGAGGAACACAACAGCAGCAGCAGCAGCAGACCTTCACTGGTGGCACACACAACCATCAGAGACGAGTGAACCGTTAGAGGTCATCTTGTGATGCCTACATGGCCACACACCTGCTGGGCTTCCCTTCCCAGTAGGAGCCAAGACACGAGTACACCAAGCAGGGGAGGCAATCAGTAAAAGAAAAATATCGTTAGCTCTGCTGGCCTAGTGGTAGTGGCAGTGCCACCAACCCAAGGGCATGCAGTTCAAATCCACCAGCGGTTCCTTGGGCAATCTCCTCCCATGTGATTTACAGCCTCTGAAAACCCATGAGAGGGTCAGCTGTGATTCAGTTCTGGCTCAGTGGTACCTAAGAACAACAGCAGCATAGGCATTTACAGGGGCTCTGGTGGCCTAATCCATGGGGGCTTGTGTTGCTAACCCAAAGGCCCCATTTCTGGTGGTTCAAATCTACCGCTGGGAGAAAGATGGGCCATCTCTTCCAGAGTGACTTACAGCTTCAAAAACCCTATAGGGGATCAGCTATGGGTCAGTTCTGGTGCACCGGCTTTGAGTTGATAGACATTCAGACAAATGTCGTGGTAGCCCAGTAGATTAAGGAGTTGGGTGCTGACCGAAAAGTCAAGAATTGAAACCTACTCTGAAGGAGCAAGACACTGTAGTCAGCTTTCCATTAAGGATTAGCAGATTTGGAAACACAGTGCAGCAGTCCCCTCCACGCTGATGGTCACTGTGAGGCCAACTGGACTCAACCGCAGAGGGTTTGGATTCTGGTTTGCACAGAGGTCACAGGGTGGTGCTCAAGATTAACCCTCGGTTCCTAACTGAAAAGTGTCAAGGTTGAGTCCACCCAGCGGTGAGCTCAGATGAAAGATCTGCAAGTCTGCTTTGGGAAAAATGAGACACTAGAAACCACCTGGAGCACAGTTTTCCTGTGACAGCTGTGGGTTCGCCATGAGCGAGGAGGCCGCTGACAGGAACTGGTCTTACCAGCCTCATAAAGGAGTAAGGTCGTAGGTTGTGTCCTTTCTGTCATAGGTCTCCTCTCCAGACAAGAACAGGGTCTCATGCACATACGAAGTACCTTCACAAGGACACGCACGTGCGTGCATACACAAATTCATTGTTCTCAACTAAGAAAAGAGTGTCATCAAGTCCGAAGAGACTCCTAGCAGGCCCTTCAGCAGGTTTGCTGGGGCTGTAAATCACACGAGAGGAGATTGCCCGCCTGAGAGGAGTTGTTTGAGTGTGAGAGGGACTTTGCCCGCGTGAGAGGGAGTTTGCCCGTGTGAGAGGAGTTGTTTGCCCGTGTGACAGGAGATGTTTGCCGGTGTGAGAGTTTGACTGTGTGAGAGGAGTTGTTTGCCCATGTTTCTCCTGTGCAGCAGCTGGTGGATTCAGACTTCATTCCTTTGGGTCTCCAGCACCTCTCTTTACCACTGGGCCACCACCAAGAAAACTACCAACTCTGGTTACTGCCTGCATCCATCTCATTACCGCGTGCCTGACCAGTTAGAAGGAAGTGGCTTTCTCTTTCCTGTAACTTTGTAAAATGATGCCTTTTCCCCATTTGTCTCCTAATCACAGCGGAATCGAAGAAGAAGAAAAAGGAAGGCAAGAGGCAGGAGAAGATGCTGGACTGAACGGCGCCCCCTTCAGGAGCACGAAACCAACGTCCATGAGCGGACAGCTGACCTGTTGCATTTATATCTTCTATAGGCTTTGTATTCCAGAATTATCCTTAGCTTAAGTACATAAGAGGCAGAATCAAAAAGAGAAGAACGTTTTCGTAGTAGCATTTTAAAAATGTGTATCCTAGTACCATTAGGGTCTTGTTATGCAGGGCAGTAATGTGCTGTAGAAGTTGACTTGTAGTAATGTTACGTGATAGAACACCCCAGGTAAGTTGTTTTTTGAATGGTGATATTTTACATTTAAAATCTTTTTTTGTTGTTTTTACATTTTCCCCCCTTTTGGCAACAATTTCAATGTTATGACTGTACACTACTTCTCTTGTTAGGTAATTTTTTTCACTTAGAATTTTTCCCCCCAATTTGCAAAAAAAGTATATACTAAACAATGCAGCAATAAAATATAATCATCCTATTTGGAAAATATCTTGTTTTCTGCCAGTAGTTTGGGTGGTGTTTTGGGTGTTTTTGTTTTATTGTGTTTGTTTTTGGTTTTTTGTTTTGTTTTGTTTTGTTTTGTTTTGTTTGTCTGTAGGAGGTGGGGAGCATGCCCTGGTTCACTGTGGACTTGTCTTTTTAAAAGGAGAAAAACAACATTAAATATGAAATTCTTAAACTTTGGCAGAAAAATTTGTTTTCTTGACAAAATTACTTTCACATCAGAGAAAAAAAGTCTGAGGAAGATCAATCAAGGTAATAGTAGGAAAATAAAGTGCAATAATTTGGCATTATAACACCCCCTAATAACACTCTTGTGTTCTCCCTCACAAATCAGTTAATATTAGGAAGTTATCAAAGTACTTCAATCCCTCAAGCACTCAAATAGTAGAAATTTTATTTTTAACTCTTTCAGTGTTATTTTATTTCCACTTTTTTATATTTATAACTCTGACTGATTTCAAAACTAGTTCCAGAGGGCTCGAGGGACCAAGAGACTGTTCTTATTACCACGTATTGAGTTAGGCTGGACTGGTGCTGTAGCCAGAGCTGTTTCCACACTGCTAACCAAAAGGTCTAAAGTTCGAAACCACCAGCCTCTCTGCCAAAGACGGGCTTGCTGGCTGTGCGACGGGGCTGGCCCGCCTGGTGCTATGAGTTGGAATTGACTTGAGGACATTGAGTTTGGCTTTGGTTTTCAGCTAGTTGTTGCCAAGTTCATTCTGACTCATGATGACCTTATGTGGACCAGGGTAGAACTGGGCTCTGCAGAGCTGTCAGGAGGTGACTTTTCATATATAGATCTCCAGTCATTTGTTTTCTAGGCTTCTGGGTGGACTTGAACTTCCGGCTTTTTAGTTAACAGCTAAGCATCTTAATTGTTTACTAGGTATCACTCATAGGGAGTTTATATAAGAGGATAAGAATATCTAAATGCAAAGCAGTAGTTGGTGTTTGATTTCAATAATTTCCTCTCTGTTGCATATATGTGTGCTAAAGACCGTCTGTACTGTGCTTCCCATGTTAGGTTGTAGTGTCCTTATATAGATAGGGCTTTGCTTCCATTGTTGTTGTTATTATTTACCACAGAGTCAGAACCAACCCATAGCTGACCCTCTGGCAGGTTTTCAGAGGCAGTAATTGCACAGGAGGAGATTGTCCATCCTTCTGCCAAGCAGCTGATGGCCTCGAACTGTGTGCCTTTGGGATTGCAGCACAGCTTCTTCTCACTAGGCCACCACAACTCCTTTGCTTCCATTAACCAAAGAAATAAAATATTAGAAAATTGTCCGAGATTAGGCTCCAAGCATTTGTCTTGACCTGGTGACCTCTAATTTTAAAGTGACAAAACTCAACATATAAACACCTGTCTATAAAGATAACAAGAATTCCATTCTCAGCAATGATTGCAACATGCCCCCGTTATCTATGAAATAGGTTATTACAGACTAGTCTGATGATGATGTAGACAGAGGGTCTGCCCAGCAAGCACTTGTTGTCTCTAGACTCCACTTGAGTGATGAGCATTGAAGAAGTCCATATCTCAGTGGTAAACCAAAACCAGGGTGCAGTGGTGGTTTAGAAGTGACAGTCTCATCTTCATGCGGGAGGCTCAGGTTCGATTCCCAGGTGGTGCACGTCCTAGTGTAGCCGCTCTCTGTCAGTGGAAGCTCCTGTGTTGCTGTGATGCCGAACCAAGCAGGTTTCAGGGAACACCCAAACTAACCCAGACTAGGAAGAAAAGCTCTAGAAAACAGCCGATGTAAACCCTATGAATCAGTGGTCCACGTCCACTGGCCTAGGGCCACGGTGAGTCAGGACCTCCTGCGACCTAAAAGGATGCCCTTCCAGAGCTGGCACTGGGCTGTTTCTGATGGGTGCTTGACAAAAGCAGAGTGCTTTGCAAAGGGCACATGACAAAAACGTGAATAGTAAATGCAGTCCTTTTACTCGCTGACCTTAATAGGAGGAAATGCACTTGGGGCTGGACAGGGGAGGGGGGCAAAGGCACTCTGCTAAGAGGGTTTTTACCTGCAAAGCCCTTAAGTGTGGGGACACGCAAGAGTCTGAAGCAGGTTTTGTTAACCTTTGTCCGAGCTTTTCTCTTCCAGCATCATTTAGTCAAAAAAGCAGCCCATGAATGAGTAATGATCAAAGGGGAACTGGAACAGACTCTCCCCAGGGAAACAGCCCTGTAAACAAACGCCGTGGCTCTTTATTCCTGGGCATGGCAGAGGGCAGAGCGGCCAGCTTGGGCACACCAGAAAATGACTCCCTGATGCTTGTTCTGGAAAGGGCTGGGGTGCCACTTTCTGGTGCATAGGGTGTGGAATGATTCATCGTCTCTTTAGTTAGGCAGCCCCAACACTGCTAAGACACACCGACTGGCTGGAAACAAGACCCTGGGAGATGGAGTGGAGGACAGAGCTGCTAACAGCAAGAGTATAACGCGAATGACTGATGTCAACATGCCTTGACTGAAGATGCTCCGGAAATCGCGGATTCCCACAAACACGAGGAAACAGACAGTCCTTGGAAGCTTCACCGAGTCCTAGTGAGCTCTTCCCAGATGTTGTGAGTTGTAGGGATTTTTGCCCTCATGCTTAGCAAGCCTCCAGGAAGGCAAAGGAAAGGAGGACATATGAGGTCAGGTTTCTTAAACTTTAGCTTTGGCATGAAGACTGTTGTTGTTAAGTGTCATCGAGTCGTAGGCGACTCATAGTGACCCTATGAACAAAAGTCCTCGATACTTGTGTGACTTTCATCCTTTCTCCAGGTTCATAGAGTTTTCGGAGGCAGGCTATTACGGAAGTGAATGCCACTCCTGCTTCCGAGCTTGTTTAAATCAGGGGGCGCCACCAAACACTGTCCACCTTGAGGGTAACCATGATCACATTTGACACATTAGTGTCATAGTATTCAGTGAGGACTGTCTACTCACCAGATAGCAGGGCAGTGAGGATGCTAGCAGCCGCAGGGCCTCTGTGCAGAGCAGCCCTTGTTGACCATTGACCAGTAAGGACCTTGACCTCTTGGCAACTGAGCTTGGCTCTGTACCAGAGTCTGGGCTTGCTATGTGCCGTCAAGTCAGAAATGACTCCTGGCTGACCCTCCAGTGGGTTTTCAGAGGCTCTGTCTGAGTCACATCACACAGGAGGAGATTGCCCATCTTTCTCCCACAGAGCGGCTAGCGGATCTGAACTGCCTGCCTTTGGGTTAGAAGTGCAATTCCTTACCAGTAGGCCACCAGCAGTTCTCATTTATCCCAACTATATTCCTGCTCCCGCAGCCTGGATACTGAAAAAGGATAAGGCCATTTCGACTTTGTGGAATCCTGTGACAATTATGGTGTTGGAAGACTTGCGGCCAGAATGTTCCTTAAACAAGAGGACGATGAGACTTATCGTAACTGGGGACATGCTTTCAGGAGTGACTGACTGGGGGTGGACAGCATGTTTGGTAAAGCTGAGGGACAACAATAAAAGGGGAGACTTGCAGGGAAATGAATTGATACATGGACTTCAGCAGTTGGCTCCGTCATACCCGTGACTGTGATAAGGGCACTGGAGCTGTCAGACCTCCATCCTGGGGTACATTGGGTGGTTACGAGGGGCACTGGGGGCTCTGGGGGTGTATTCCACAGTGTACTATACCACCAAACAAAAGACTGCATGTCCGTAGTGGTTCAAAACGGGCAGCTTTGAGGAGGAAAGATGGACATTTTCCTCCTCTTAAAATTTACGGCTCTTACAACCTGATGGAAGGGCTAAGTTTGAACCAATTGGATGGTGATGAATTTGATTTTGAGTTGATGAAGCATCCATCTCAATGGCGCCTCACAACAGCAACATTTCTGCAGTGGTGTCTTTGTTTTCGTTAATTGCCTTTCAGCCCTGCCAGTTCATGGTGACCATATGACAGCATGGAATTCTGCCTGGTGTGCTGTCCTCTTCATGATCTGTGATGTTTCAGCCCTTGTTAGTGCTATTGTGTCTGTCGGAGAGTTGCCCTCAACACTGGCTGACCCTCTACTTTGACAAACAACAGTGCCCCTTTCTAATGATTCATTTATCCTGAGGGCACATCCAAAGTAAGCCAGTCTCACTCTCAAGGAATGTTCTGGTTCTCTGTCTTCTCTGCATCTCATATTGTGTGAACTCTGTCCTCTAGATAGCTATCCGAGAGCTCTACTAAGTTGAGCAAGTGAAACAGTGTGGGTATAAAAACATTATATACTGTCACTCGTGAGTTCCCGACCAGAAGGTCCTATGTGGATAAAGAAAGAGGACACCCAGTCCTTTTCCTGCAAAGGAGCTGGAGATTTCTTAGGATGATAGGTAGGAAGACACTTTTAACGAGGCTGCCTAGCTTGACTATCTTGTTTAAATGAAGACCAGAACTAAACATGCCTTAGGAGGAACTGTAATTACAGTAGGAAATGCCACCATCCACAAACAGAATTATTTGCAAATAGTTCCTCAAAATAGAAATCAGAACTTTTATTAACTTTAATC